AGTGAAGACACTAAATCTTATGCATTTAGCCTTCCAGTACCAAGGCCCTTGAACAAGATGTTGTCTGTACAGTATCGGTGCACCAATAGACTCAGCCAAAACGCAGTTCCCAGTTTATGAGAAGACAGTTTTGCAGCACAGATTTTTCCTGTGTTTCTTTAACCAAACTGCAGCTCAAATACCCACCTTGTTGTGGTTGTTGTTAGTCGCGAAGTCATGTCCGACCCATTGCGACCCCATGGACAACACTCCTCCAGGCCTTCCTGTACTGTCCATGGGGCTTTCATGGCAAGGGAACTGGGGTGGGTTGCCATTTCCTTCCCCAGTGGAGCACATTTTGTCAGAGCTCTCTGCTATGACCTGTCCCATCTTGGGTGGCCCTGCACGGCAGAGCTCATTGTGCTACGCCAGCCCCTTCCCCACGACAAGGCAGTGATCCAAGAAGGGGATAGGTAGATAGATAGACAGACAGACAGACAGACAGACAGACAGATATAGAAAGAATAGATAGGGAATCTGAGTCACTAGAGGAGTCCAGCTCGTGACTAATCTGAGTGACTTTCTCCTTGAAGTGCTGGGCAAAGTTGTCACAGCGGGCCATTGAAGGTGGTACAGGATCTTTCTTGGGGCCTGGATGTACCAGCCCATGTACCACCCAAAAGAGCTCTGCTGGATGGAACTGTGAGGAGGCAATGGAAGCGGAGAAGAATTTCTTCTTCGCCGCCCTCACTGCCACAGCATAGGCTTGATAATGAGCTCTTAAGTGTGTTTGGTCAGATTCATCCCGTGATTTCCTCCACCTACGCTTTAGACCTCTCCCAACCTGCTTCATTGCCCGTAATTCAGGTGTATACCAAGGAGATGAACGGGCTCTGCCAGGTGGGAGAGGACGCTTGGGAGCGATCGTGTCAATAGCCCTGGTCATCTCCTCATTCCACAGTTCAACCAGGGCATCGACAGGATCACCAGCCTTGTCAACCAGAAAATCCCCCAGAGCTTCCAGGAATCCATCCGGATCCATCCAGCTCCAGGGGTGGACCAATACAATTGGGTCCGCACCCTTGCAGAGGGAAAGGCCGCTCTCGAGCTCAAACCTTATGAGGAAGTGATCTGACCATGACAAGGGCGTCAAGCTCAAATTCCTCACCCTCAGATCACCCTCTTCCTGCCCCGTCGAGAAAACCAGGTCCAGCGTGTGTCCACGTTCCTGGGTCGGGCCTATGACATGTTGAGACAGCCCCATGGCTGTCATGGAGGCCATGAAGTCCTGAGCCGCCCCGGTCAGAACAGTCTCGGCATGGAGATTGAAGTCCCCCAGGACCAACATCCTGGGGGTCTTCAGCACCAGGTCTGAGACGATCTCCGTCAGCTCTGGCAGAAGAGTGCACGGTACATCAGCAGAATCCCCAATCTGTCTTGGTCGCCCAACGCCCGATAAAGGCACTCTAGACCCGGCCTCGAGAGAACGGGAAGCCCCGCAAGGGAAATTGAAGTTCGATATATTAAAGCGACCCCCCCCTCCCCTCCCCTCCGGGCATGGCTGGTGCTGAACCAGATACCTGGGCGGGCACAGTTGAGAGAGGGACATATCCCCCACCCTTCCACCCAAGTCTGTGTGATGCAAGCCAGGTCGGCCCCCTCATCCACAATTAAGTCGCGGATGAGGGATGTTTTGTTATGGACCGACCTGGCATTAAGCAACAGCACCGTCAGGCCCAAGGGGCAGTTGATAAGCTCACCCGGAACCTTCTGGTTGGGGGAATAACCAGAAGGGGGAACAGGTGTTAACCATCTGTCCCTCCTTCTATACCGACACATTAAACCCCCAACGCCATATCGACCACTGCCCAAAACCACCCCAATGGTGGCGCCCACGTGCTCCCCAGGCAACCCATAGTAGCAGCCAGGCGTGAATCCATTAAAACAATCTATTAAAATACAATTAAAATGCAATAAAAATACAATAAAACCCACCAACCCACCCAATTACAAAAGCCCCCCCCACACACAGACACAGCGTCTCTGGCCAGGCCAGCCCACGCACGGCCCTGAACGTCTCTGCCCCTAAGCTTGCCTTGATTCATGGATCTTACATTCCAGGTTCCTATGGAGTATAGATCTTTGCAGCATCGGACTTTCCTTTCACCACCAGGTACTTCTGCAACTGAGTGTCCTTTCGGCTTTGACCCAGTCGCTTCACTCTTTCTGGCGCTACTAGTACTAGCCCTCTGCTCTTCCCCAGTAGCATATTGGACACCTTCCAGCCTGAGGGGCTCATCCTCTGGTGTCATATCTTTTTGCCTTTTGGTACTGTCCATGGGGTTTTCATGGCAAGGATACTGGAGTGGGTTGCCATTTCCTTCTCCAGTGGATCACGTTTTGTCAGCGCTCCCTGCTGCGAACTGTCTGTCTTGGGTGGCCTGCACGGCAGAGCTCATAGCTTCATTGCGCTACGCCAGCCCCTTCCCCACGACAAGGCAGTGATCCATGAAGGAGAATACCCACCTTAGTTCACAGATTATTTCACTTAGGACCACAACCCCACATTTGGTGATCAACTCAAACCTGTCACGCGCTTGTGGAAAACAGGCTTGGCTCAAATGTCTCATTCCGATTCACCAGGCTGCCAATCTGCCACGAAGCACCCGAGGCCACGCAGGAGCCCGAGCGCAGCAAACCACGCCGGAAAAGCCTTGTGGTTCAGTGCAGAGTGCCGGGATTGACCTGGCTCCCTGGATCCTGGGATCCCTGCCCGGCCCGGCCCGGCCCTTGTGGCAAAAAGCAAGCCCGCATCCTCTTTGCAGGAAGAGGGTGGGATCCAAATGCAATCAAGGGTGTTTCTTTTGCCTGGAGTTTTTGCCTCTTGAACACTTTCTACCTTTTCAGGACACATTGTCGTTCCTTCAGGAAACCCACAAATATTCTTTCCCAAAAGAAACTGAGCATTTGCACCTCGCCATTACCACCAACTTTTCAAGCATTTGGAAAAGGGGCTGCTTGCATGCACTGCCCCTCCCTCAAAATTCAGACATAGCTTTTCCCCAGACAAAGGGGGGAAGACCAGATCAGTAGAACCCGGCATGGGCTTTGCGGGGCCTGAAGGAACCGGGCTGGCATTTGCACAGGGCTGCGCTGGCTGGGAGCTCCCTTCCCTTTTCGTTGGCCCTTCGCCACTGGGGACATTTTGGCTGCTTAGTGCTTGGAACCTGATTGAGCCTTTTCCCATTTCCTATTTCTGCACGACCCTTTAATAGAACCTGTTCCCCGTTTTCCCCACACCCACATCGTGTGCCTTGCAGGTGAAGCAGGCAGGCTTCTGAGGCGCTGCAGCTCACTCGGGGTCATGCAACACGCTCCAACCCCCAGGCTGCACCCAACGGGCGCAACACAACTTCAGACCGCTCTGGTGCCGCAGAGAAGCTTCCCCCACAGGAGCCTGGGTGGGTCAGTCCCAAGGAACTGAGGGCGCCTGCAAGCGGAGGAGAGGGGCTCGCGGGGCTCCTGCCCCTGCGCCAGGCCTGCCCACCGGACGGGCTGCTGGCAGGCACGGGGTGAGGGACAGGCGCTGCAGCCAGGCATCCGTGAGCGGCAGTAGCAAAAGTGAACTGGAAAGGTCCCCATGCAAATGGACCTGTGCAAATGAACCGCCTTTGCATCCCGAATATTTTCCCGTCCAAACCTCTCCGTAAAAGCCACCCCACCGCAGCGAAGCTTGCTCAGGCCAGCGGGAGCAGCGTCGCCACACGTGGCACGTGCAAGGAGCCCGAGGAGCCACAGCACGGGCAGCAGGGACGCCGACGGTCCCCCCGGAGGGCCAGGCGCCTGCCCTGAGCGCCGAGCACGCTCGGGGCGCTGTCCCTCACCGAGGCTGCAGAAGGCCCTTCGGGTGGGGTGGCCTGTTTGTGGCGAGGCTGCTCCTCTCCCCAGCGCCACACAGCAGAAACGCCTGCGGGGCAGAGGGGGTGCCTGCCATGTGCAGCCCGGCCGGAGAGACGCTTCCCACGGCCACGGCAACAGCATGCGCTGAGTGCCCTGCGCAGACCTGCATGCCGCCCAGGCAGGGGAGCAGCCGTGCCTGAGCACAAGCTAGGAGCCACTGCTGGCATCGGCCCTCCCTGGACACGCCGCTGATTCCTCAGCAGCCCCTGGCAGCTGCCGACTGAGCCAGCTCGCTGTGCCTCGCGCGTGCCAGTGCACTACGAGAACAGCGCGCCGGATCGGTCGCTCTCTCTGGGGGCCCCGTGCTCCTGTGGGCGGCTTGCCCCGAGCAGAGACCACCACAGCAGCTCCCCCTTGCAGAGGGGAACTCGGAGGGGGGAGTGTGGCAGTGGCCAGTTCTGCCCAGAGGAGGGCCCCTCCTCCCCAGCCCCTCCCCCTGCTGCCCCTACACCCTGACTGGGGATAAAAGCATCGTGGCGCCGCGTGGGATTCCCTCCCCCAGCGGGGCGGGCCCCAAGGAGGGCTCTGCAGCCTCCGGCTGAGCTTGCTGGAGGGGCAGTCCCACTGGCGCAGGGCCGGCTGGCGGGACCGAGGCAGCCCTTGAGCTGGGCTCCCCGTGGCCTCTGGCCTCCCTTCCCACACCCTCGGCCTCCTGGTTCCTCTGGGAATGCGTGGGCAGCCGTCTCAGGCGGCAGCAAGGCCTGTGCCTCCCGCCGGCTTCCCAGGTGCCCTTCTGCAGGATGCTGGCCACATTGCCCAAGGTGCTGCCCAGAGTGGCGCCCAGTTCCGCTCACGGGGCCACCGCCACTCCTCCCCCCCGCCTGCGGAGCTGCAGCCGCTCCCCCAGGGCAGGATGCTCGAGCGGACGGCTTCCCAGGCCCCTCCGGGTGCCTTTCCTCAGATGTTTTCCAGGAGGAGGGCAGGAGCTGCCTTTGCTCTCAGGGGGCCGCCCATCCGGGGCTCAGGGGCCGCTCTGGCCCTGCAGTGAGCAATGCCGCGGGGCCTCCAGCAGCATGTCCACCTGTGCCCAGGGGCCGGGGCTGGAGGCGCTCAGCACTCACCTTGAAGAAGGTCATGGTGGCCCCATCCTTGACTGCGCCGTACTCGATCTTGGTCTGCTTGGCCAGGTCATCGGCAGAGTCAATGGGGGACTCCATTCTCTCCACGGTCAGGAAGGCGGCCAGGTTTGCCGTGTAGGAAGAGATGATGATGAGCGTGAAAAACCACCAGATGCCCCCGATGATGCGGGTGGACAGGGCTTTGGGCATCAGCTCCGAGCCTGGGAAGATTGGAGGCGGGGGAGGGGAGGAAGAGGCAGACACATAAACCCAGCTCTAAACCAAAGATTATCTGTCTCTGGCCTGTAACCATCACACAAATTCCACCATTTTAAACAAGTAAATTAGCCAGACAGTGGTACACAAATAAAATATCCATCCCCCGCTTACTCTATAATGTTTGCATAAATTCCCACCCCGTTACCAGTGACCTTGGGTACAACCAACAATTTATGAGGAACTTTCAAGCCAAAGTAATTAACGAAGCAGCTTTTATGTGATTTAAATAGCATGGCATTTGTGAACTTTTATGAGTGTTTTGTTCTACCATTTGAAATGAAAAGGCATTTCTATTATACGGGTTGTTTTTCAAAAGGGCTCACTCTGGGGAAATTCTTCAAATATACAAGCATTTTTAAGGTATCCAATGGTGTGGAAGAGAAATGATCAAAGCTTGAAATAGCAGCTGGAAGCAGGAAAACACCATTTAAAAAAGGTGTTACAGGCCTGTAATGACTTTGAGTGGGGGATGAAGGACAGGATGGGCTGCTATTTTTGTCCCTGCCCCTCCTGGTGCCTATTGAAGCCAGAGAACGGGGGATAGAGTGGAGGGCTGGGCTCACTAGACATTTCTGATCTGAATGTGGGGAAGGGCAGGCTGGAGTGGCACCGAGTCAGGGCTCCCGGGGACCATCATTGTGCCGGCTCATCCGCCAGCCCTCGGGCCAAGCGATGGATGGAGCAGGCGCTGCGGGGGGGCGGGGGGGCTGCGCTGGGACACCACACCACCCGCCAGGCAGGCACCTCCGGGGCGGCATTGGCAGCCAGCTGCCCACCATGGCTGCGTCGGAGAGCCCCGAGAGGCAGCCAGGGCCAGGGTCCTCCTCCGCCCGGCCCTGGACAGGGGGCTTCCGCTCGCCCCATATCCGCCCTCCTGGGGAAGGCAAAGCGGGGTGTCCAGCTGGGCACAGCCTCCAGGGGCTGCGAGTCTCCCTCATGTGCTTGTAGGATTTGCAATGTCGTATCTTAGAACTTTTAAGTTTTGTGAGCTGCCGTGGCAGCTTTGGCTACCAGACGGTTGAGAAATGTGGGCAACCAATCCATCCATGAGTGTTAAGAAAGAAGCCAACACAGAGAGGCAGCTAAGATAATCGGGGGTGGGGGGTGGCAGGGGGCCGTCCTGGAGCTGGCGCTGAAAACACGCTGTGAGCCCAAGGCCAGTATGCAAGCCCAAAAGCTCTGCATCCTTTCAGGAACTGGTGTCAGGCTCCTTTTCCCGATGTGGGAGCCTCTGCAGTTTGCCTCTGAAGAAGCAGAAAACAGGTGTGGCTTCCCACCTTCTCCCTTCCCTTCCCTTCCCTTCCCTTCCCTTCCCTTCCCTTCCCTAGAGGCCCAGCTGCTGGATCACTCCTTGACTCCAGTGGCCCAGCAAAATGGCCCCCTGCCCCACAGCCTGGCCCTCGAGCCGCTCAGGAAGCAGCCCCCCCCCCGGGAGGGAACGCCGCAGCCCCCGGAAGAGGTGGGCGCCCGCAGCCAGAGGCTCGTGAGGCTGCTGGGGAGAGCGGGGGGCGGGAGCCGCTGTGGCAGCGCGCCTTGACAAGCGCTCCTGTAATTGTTACAAGACAAACTCCACCATTTCAAACCCAATGTCTTTGCTCATCATGGTGGGATGACAGAGACTCGGTGCTGCCGCCGTGCCGAGCCATGGCAGCGAGAGAGAGGAGGCACAACATTATTTTTCTTGCTCGTCACTTTTTTTGACAAGTGCAACTGCGTTGATCGTGCACCTGTCAACGAGGCAAACATGTGCGCCAGCTCAGAGCGCAGCGCTGCGCAGGCGGGGTTGGCAGGGCGGCTCTCCTGGGGTGCGGGGGGGGGGGGGGGGCATACCTTGCTGCATGAGGGCTCCCATTCCAAACCAGAAGCTGTTGAGGAGGGTGAAGTTATTCTCCACGATGTCTGAGCCCGGGTTGCAGGGGTGGGCGTCGTACCACTCGTACGGGCTGAACCTGCATGCGAAGGAAGAAGGGAGGAGGCTGTCAGGGCCGGCCGGGGCTCATGGGATGGGTCGAACTGGGGAGGGGAGGTACGGCCGGAACATGTGTCACCACCGGGCCCAGTGCTGACCCCTCAGGGCAATCTCTGAGGCAGCCCCTTCCGGCTTGGTGGACCCCCGAGAGGGATCCTTGCCGGGGAAGCCCAGAGCCTTGGGCTCCCGGCTGATTCCCACCGGCAGAGCAACGTGTGGCTGGACCACTCCCGCTCTTCCGGCAGAGCTGGGTGAATGTTCAGGCGGTGGCACCAGCTGCACTTAGGACAAAGACTTACTGGGGTGAATTGCACAAGCCAGCTTCTTCCAAAAAGCCTTTTTCTGCAGAATTGGATGAAGCTTGCAGGTGTTGTTGCTCTGACCAGACAAGTCCTACCAGGTTTCAGGCAGAGGGAGAGATGCCGGGCCTGGTGCAAAGCAGCCGTGGCCACCAGCCGAGGTTTCCAGGCAAACAAACAAACAAGCAAGCAAGCAAACCAACCATTTCTCTGTGCTTTGGGGGGTGTCATTTGCACAAAAGCAGCACATGTCATGGGGGCGGCTGGCCCCTGGGAGAAGCATGTCTGCTCGTTTGTCAACAGATGTGGCCTCATCAGCCAAAGTGCCACCAAGGGCATGCACAGTAATTGAAAAAAGTAATCCTGGACACAATAAAAATAGCAACATTAAAAACTGTGAAACATTAGAATGCTAAAGTTACCAGATAAGTTATGTTACAAAATTAAGTGATTTCTTAAACACAATTACCAGTGCAGACGTGCCTGGCACCTTTCAAACTGACTTGGAGAAAGGCTACCAAGGGACCTGCCACCCCTCCTGCTGCTGTGGGCATTTTGCATGTGCCCTGGTGGGGGTGCTCCTTAGAAAGTCATGCGCAGAAATTCGGAAGGGCAAGTCCAGGGCTGGAGGTGAGCCCAAGGGAGAGACCGCCTGAGCTAGGCAAGCGGCCCTGGGCACCGCTGCTCCCTGAAATCCAGCTGAACAGCGGTGGGGGGCGGTGCGTGTGCGCACGGCCTGCGCCCCACTCCGCACGCATCCACCTGCCACAGGTCTTTTTGGGCTGTGGCTGGCTTCTTCCCGACAGGAGCAGGCCTGGTGAGGCCAGCTCCCTGGGTAGCCTGTTCATGCTCAGCATGCAGAGCTCCGTGACGCAGCCGGGGGCACAGAGGCACCTGGAGGGGTCATGTTTCCGTCCCCCGGCCCATCTCTGCTTTGGTTGCAGCGGTCACAAGGGATGCACCCGCCCACGCGCCGCGGGGAACGTGCAGACAGAGCGCAAGGGGAGCCTCGCCGGACGGAGGCCAGAAAAGGAAACGTGGACTGCACGTCAAGCCGGCCCACACAGCCTGGGCCAGCCGGAGCATCGGTGGGGTGCTCACATGCAGTGCCAGCCCTTCGCCAGCGTCCTGGGGAGGCGGCGCTTTCCGGCCAAGCGTGGGCGGGGGGGACCTTGACCTTTCCTTCGCACTGGCAGGCCTACCTGCCAACTGGCCCTAGAGTTTGGTCTCTTCCACTTAAGGTGAGGTTCCTCTCCCCAGTCAGCGCATTTCCAGACCTTCACCCCGGGTGGCCCGTGCGGGGCACTCGTCTTGCATTTCCACTTTGGGCCTGCTTGTCAGTTCTGATGATAATTTTCTGTTTTGTACACTAAATATAAATTACCATCTATGACCGCATGGTGATAGATGCATTTGTCCGAATCCAGCTTTGGTCCTGCTGCTTTGATGGCTTCGGAGTTGCCTGGGCTGTCAGAACAACCACGTAAATCCAACCAATGCAGGCCTATAAATCTCAATTATCAGCAAAAAAGGGCCTTCCCAAGGATGGAATAATGACCTGGGCAGTCTCACTTGGCCAATCAATGGAGAGCCTTGTTCTTCTATATTTCATTATTATTATTATAACATTTCTATGCTGCCCCTTGCCGAAGCCTCGGGGTGGCTTACAACACAATACAATACAAAAATAACAATATAAAATTAAAATTAATAATATAAAATAAATAAAAAATATAAACGATATAAAAGAAGTTATAAAAGAAAAGAAAAGAAGTCGCCCTGGCCAGATAAGTAAGTAAATATTGTTAACAATTAAAATGACGTTTAAATAAAAAGGTCTTCACCTGGCGCCGAAAAACAAATAACGACGGCACCAGGCAGACCTCTCTGGGGAGCACATTCCATAGATTGGGCGCCACCACAGAGAAAGCCCTCCTCTGAGTACCTACCCTCCTAATTTCTTTCACAGAGGGTTCCCGGAGAAGGGCCTCTCCCGCAGATCTCAAGGGGCGGTCGGGCATATATGGATGTAAGCGCTCCTTCAGGTAACCAGTTCCCAAGCCGTTTAGGGCTTTATAGGTCATAAGCAACACCTTGAATTTGGCCCGGACTTCAATGGGAAGCCAGTGAAGCTGTCGGAGGACTGGAGTCATGTGAACATAACGCCCCGTCCCTGTCAGCAACCTGGCAGCTCTATTTTGAACCAACTGAAGTATCCGGACCGTCTTCAAGGGAAGCCCCATGTAAAGCACATTGCAGAAGTCCAGGCGGGAAGTCACCAGCGCGTGTGTCACCGTCGCCAGGCAGTCGTACTCCAGGTAGGGGCACAGCTGATTAATCAGCTGAAGCTGAAGGAAGGTGCTCCTCGCCACTGCTGTCACCTGAGCTTCCAATGAAAGCTCCGGGTCGAGGAGTACTCCTAAGCTGCAGACCTTGTCCCTAAGAGGGCGTGCAACCCCATTCAGGGCCAGGTCAAATCCACCCTCTCCGAAGCCCGATCCGCCAACCAACAGGACCTCCGTCTTGTCTGGATTGAGCTTCAGTTTATTGGCCCTCATCCAGCCTATTACCTCGGCCAGGCACCGGTTCAGCACAGCCACTGCCTCACCTGGATTGGTGGAGAACGAGAGGTAGAGCTGGGTATCATCAGCGTACTGATGATTCCGCAGCCCACACCTCCTGATGACCTCTCCCAGCGGTTTCATGTAGACGTTAAACAGCAAAGGGGACAAAATGGAGCCCTGCGGAACTCCATGGCATAGCTGCCATGGCGCAGAGCCATAGTCCCCCAGCACCACCTTCTGGAACCGGCCGTCGAGATAGGAGCGGAACCACTGCAAGGCAGTGCCTCCAACCCCCAATCCCGCTAGCCTATCCAGAAGGATACCCTGGTCGATGGTATCGAAAGCCGCCGAGAGTCCAGAAGAACCAACAGGGGCGCACTCCCCCCGTCCTTCTCCCTGCACAGGTCATCGTACAGGGCGACCAAGGCAGATTCAGATGAGGGATCCTGGGTCTCGGGCCATGCTTCATTCAGCAGAAATTGTCGTTTTGATATGGACACCACCATATCTCTTTAATAAGCGCTTAATTGGGCCAGCCAGTGGTCGGCAACGCACCACTGTCTGTGCATCTCTGCCTCATATGTTTTGGCAATGCCCAAGAGCAGCTTCGAGTTGGGCGGAAGTAATAAGCCGGATAAATCTTGTGACGAAATGCCCTTTAATACTTAAGGATACGCATGTTATTTTGAATTACCTATCCATCTCTTGGAATTCTACACAAGGTCAAAGTAAACAGATATTCTGTGTCTTTTAACAGATTAAAGACAAATATTTCAACCCTAGAGGGAGAAATGCCCCTCTGCAATAGCACGATGGGTGCAACATTTAATGAAATTTTTAATTTTTGAATGGGTAGCCTTTTGGCATAATTTACAAATAGATACATATATGGCTGCAAGGAGTGTCTTTGCTGAACCGTGGAACAGTAGGGCTGGAAGGGGCCAGAAGGCCTCCAGCCCAACCCCGCTCCGTGCAGGACTCCCGGCTCAGCCACCCCCTCCCAGGGCTGTCCGGCTGCATCCTGAATGCCTCCCGCACAGGGGAGCCCGCCACCTCCCGGGGTCGCCGGTCCCACTGCCATACTTAGAAACATAGTAACAGAGCAAGCCAGAAGGGACCTCCTGGGCCATCTAGTCTGACCCCTGGCTCCAGCCAGCTCCACTCATGACATGCCTGCCATGGGCATGTCCAGCGTAACACCCTCACCAATGGGGCTTCAAGCACCTCCCGTGGAAGCCCATTCCATGCCCGAGGAGTCCTTACCATCGGGAAGCACTTAGAAACACAGAAACAGAGCGAGTCAGAAGGGGCTCCCAGGCCATCTAGTCTGACCCCTGGCTCCAGCCGGCTCCGCTCACGCCATGCCCACCACGTGCACGTCCAGCCTACCCTCGGAATGCCCTCAATGATGGGGCCTCAGCCACCTCCCGGGGAAGCCCGTTCCATGCCCCCGGGGTCAGGAATACTGCCTCGCCTCCAACTGAAGCTTGGCACCCCAAGCTTTGCTTCTGTACCGGCCAGGAAGCCCTTGGTGGTGCTCCACTGGAACCTGGCTTCCTGCAGCTTGAGCCTGTTTGCTCCATGTCCTCCCCTTTGATCTGGGCCTTCCCCGTGTGACCGTCTTTCCAGTCCTGGAAGAGTGCTATCCTACCTCCCCCCAGGCTTCTCTTCCCAAGGCTAAGCGTGCCCAGTTCTTTAAAATCTCCTCGCAGGGCAAGGATCATCCTTGCTGCCCTCCTCTGAGCCCTTTCGGAAGTCTACACAGAGTTACCTTCAGTAACAATAGTATGTTCTGCGATGTATTATATACAGTGCAGCTGTTATATACTACAGGGATATACAGTGGTACCTCAGGTCACAAACGCCTCACTTCATGACCAAATCAGGCCGCGAACAGAAATTTTGGCAAAATTTTGCCTCAGGTCATGAACTCCACATCGGGTGACCATCGCGATCGCCCCCGTCTTCCCTGCACAATTGTACTTGGGGGTGGGGGAGATGGCCACGATTGTGGTTGTGCTCGTGCAGGGAAGACAGGCAAAACTGCAGTCATGCTGGGGGGGGGGGGGGGGGAGGGCCGCGATCCCCCCTGTTTTCCCTGCCCGAACATGTTCGCG